GAAACAGGGAAGGCTTTCAATCGGTTTCAGAAGCAGATTCCTAGTTGCAACAAGCCTATGTTGATTTGACTAGCTACGGGATCGGATTATGTACAGAGGTAGAAACTTTTGGACAAATGACTGAATCTCATCAAACTTATTCAAATAGCGAGCCATCATGAGTCAATCACAAGTTGAATACAATAAATCAATTCAATCTGCTTTCTGTACTTTCAGAATTACTTGACTAATAAACCTTCACTGCTTTAATTGTTTCTCTAAGAAACTTTATGGTCAATAATGCACTCAAAACTTGACAAGGTGGATTTCCTTCACAAAATATGTTTTCCATAGAGTTCCTTCCAAATATGAAACAATTTTAACATTCTTACTCCGCACACAAACCACTTAAGAATCTAAATCCTGTCATGATACAGGTCTCAGCATAATGTAAAAAGGTTACTGACACTCTCACCACAAATAGTCTGCTAAAATCTATAAGCAAGTGCAACAGAGAGATGAGAGAACTCCATAGATCCCATGCTAAAGGGCAACGTAACAGAGGATGATCAACTCATTCCCCTGCTTGCGTACATATGCAACATCAGTTTACAATAACCTGCCCTCTCTTACTTACATTATCAAGAGTCAAGATTCTCCTAATTAGTGTCTGTCAAAAGAGCAAAAGAAAAGAATACTAAAAAAGAAACACCAGTTTTGCTTTCCAGGGAATAGTGGTCATATCCCTCAAAGAGACAAAAAGTAACACTTCAAACTAAACTTTAGCTACCCTCCAGATAATGACATCATCACCTCCACCACATGCCTTGGGGCAATTTAAAACCTCCTAGTTATATCTCCTAGCTCCAGTGATTTAAATTTTGAATGAATATAGGATTCCATTTTATATCAAAACCCAAACCCTCCATACAACTCACTGTTGCCTGTCCACAAACAGACAAACTGTAAGAGTTCAACCCGAACTTTAGCTATCTTCCAGATCCTGACATCATCACCACTCCCAAATGCGCTAGGGGCACATACCTAATGATGGTATCTCCCATCCCCATATCATTCATATTAACTGAAAATAGAATTCAACATATTCTATAAAAAAAATTCAAAAACCAAACCCTCAACATACACGAAGTCACTACACATGCTTATCAATAGTTTAAAACAAATAAATGGAAATGACACTTCAAATCAACATCAGCATGCCACATAACATGCCAGAAGCAAACCACTCTACCATCCCCCACTTTTGATAGACTATGAAACAAAAGGAGAGGCTGTTAACAACCCATGCAGGTTTCTCAATCTCAGAATGCAAAGGCATACCAACAAGTTAACTGTCAGATATTACACGACTGACAAGAGAACGAAATACCGTTAATTGACAAGAACATTAAATTCCATGAAAATTCATAATATCAAACATCACAATAGCTGCCGCCATAGACTTTTTTTACCTAGATTACAATGAACATCAGGTAATGTACTGAATTCATCCTTGATTAATTTTGTTTAGTACTGTGCTTTTAGTAAAAGAGCACACCTCTTGGTAGTAATTGCTCTACATGGTACAAAACAGAATCAATATATATTATTCACCACCACCTTATCTTCAAACTCTATGTTTGTGAAGTGCCTTGATTTGTATTCTAAGGTCCACAAACTCCCCCATACTTAAAATCATAACTTAGACATGCTCAAATCATTGATATGCTTTTGTATAAGAGTTGAACAAATCTGCCAACTATGAATGGTCCTAACCATTCTTGTATCCTTTATTCATGTAACCTTTATCTAGGAATAAAAATTCTCAATTCTTCTTCACAATTGCAGATTGACAAAAGAAATAAGTAGATTCTACCGCACACGCATTTAAATGTTCAGCATTCATCATGTTCAATTAACCCAACAAAGAAAAGCAAAGAATAATACTGAAATCTTTTCTGGCAGTCTACTGTACTTGGCCAGAGGTAACTAAATGAAGTCTGTAGTATCATCACCACCACATCCATCTACCAATTAAACTTTTAAGAAAAGTTGAATGGTGTTTTACATAATGAGGCAGATACATTTCCACCAAAGATGCATTTTCACAAGACAAAAGCAGATCTGAAACTACCCACGATGTGGTATTATCTTCCTTTCCATATAGTATAATTTCCAGTTTCAACAATGACATAAAGCAACAAGGCACCATAAAAATATTACAGAAAAAAAATAATGATTTCCCAATAAGCAGAAATGTATCACCAGCTAGGCTGCTACAAAACACAATCATTATAAAATGTACAAACCCAATTATCTGATTTGACAAAAAGGCAAACCTGAAGCCAATCAATCCCTAATGCCAAGTTCAACCTCCAGCTCATCATCATCTTCAAACAGCTTAAGAAGACGGGCGTGTTGCTCTTCTCTCTTCTTCTTCTGCCATATCTTGAACAAGAACACACAGAAGCCCAAGACAGCCGCCACACCCAGCAACACAATGACTGCCTTCAGCGCCACAGACCCACTTGAAGAAGAAGAAGCTTTGTTTCCATTCTTGGGACTTGGTGGGTCGTTTGCTAAACCTGAATCGAAGAGGAGGGCAATGGAGAAGAGGAGAAAATGGAACTGGAGAGATCTTTGGCGGCTTTGAAATCCATTCATGTCTTGAAACAAAATTGTACTTTTGTTTTTTTTTTTCCTCTGTCTTTTCTCGGAAAACCTAATAAACCAGTAAAATGGACAAAGGTTTCAACGTTGAACGTTGAATTTTCAACGCGTTACCTTTCTCTGTATGCCTTTCCCACTGCCAACTCCAAAACTCCAAAACTCCAAACTAGCGAATGCTGGTGGTGACCTGACCAATAGAATAAGCCAACTTACCTTATTTTGCTTACCATTGGTGACTGGTGACCATTACTACCGCATTTCGTATGATTTGATTTACTTGCTACACGAATCTCAAAAATTAAATTTATCCAATTATGTATGATGTGGCGATCAACGATTCAATGTAACTTAAAAAAAAATTGTGATCACAATAACGTAGTTTGATTTGGCAATTTCACCTTTGTTTAATGTTTTTTTTATTATTTTAAATTTGACAACATAGGTTGGATGCAGTTCGGTTTTCATTTTAAATCAAAATTGGAATTGGTACTATTTAACTGATTCGGTTTGGTCTGGTTTTAGTTAATTTTTTTATAAAAAAATTGGCTGGTTCAGTTTGAATCAATTTCGGTCCAATTTTCAATTTTTTTCGATTTTGAACCAAATTATTATTATTATTATTATTATTATTATTATTATTTATATAAATTCCAACTAAAATTTTACTTTTTGGGGCTTGAAAATTAATAAATGATCCAATTTCATATAAAGAGAGACATTGAGCCTAAAAAAGAGATATGTTTAGAAGTTGGGCTTGAGGAAATATTAGTTATGAGATTAAAAATGTGGTATTGGATTTAAATAATTTTGAAAATAAGATAAAATAATACACAATCGGTCTGGTTCAGGCCGGTCTGATTTTTTCACTACAATAATTGGAATTGGAACCGAACCAAATTGGTCCAGTTTGGTTTTTGGTCAACTTAGTTTTACCCCCTTTTTTCGGCCCAATTGGGTTCGATTTTTCGATTTTCCGGTTTGAATGCCCACCCCTACGTGAGGGGCATGCGTAAGGACATTTTTTTATTTATCATTTTGCATAACACATGGGGTACTCTTTAAGGATGGGTTTGTTTTGCGCAAAAAAATGGGATTTTGATTGGAAAATCATTTACTTTTTCATATTTGATAAGTTCATACTTGGAAAAAAAAAAATCTAACACATGCGAGAATATGGGAACTGAAATAAAATGATATTTCCCAGTTATTGAGCATTAACAAACATGAAAAAATAAATCTTCTGCTTCCTAGCCCCTCAGAAAAGACATATGAATTGATTTTCCATCAAATACTTTTTGAAAACCAAACATGACCTAAAAGATTATATGGTGTTGAGCTACAGTTATTGACTGCAAACAAAGTCAAACTAATTTTCTAAACTAACTTAAATGGAAATCTTATATCATCCTTATAAAAGGTGCATATGAAATGAGGAAACCTTATTGCCTGTAACAAAGTTATTCTTTTTGATGAAATGGGTTCATGTCATGAACCTAATCCTCATCTTCAATGTTTTTCTCAACTCAACTTTCTCATTCACACTTTTGTTTAAAAAACTGAAACTTACCTAACAAAATTTATTTCTTAACCAATTCCATTAATCAATCAAATAACCTTTCTCTCTTTCAAGACAGACACTCTTCTCTAATTCAAGAGCAGAGATTTGTTTTGTCACCCTCACATTCTTCTTCTTTATATAACATTTGAACCAGAATTGCCATTAGAAAATTAGAATATGAATAATAAAAAATTAAAAGTCAAACCAACTTGTCCACCAAGTAAAGAGAAATTAGAGAATTATCAACTATTAGAGATAAAAAAAAATTAAAAATGTTTAACGAGTGGACATTTTGCCAAAGTTAAGCATTGACTGAGTTCAAGCAATTAGCCTCCAATTCTATGAGAGCCTCTTTAGTGTTTTCTTTTTCTTCTTTATTAATGTGAGATAAGGGCAACACCTTTCAAAGGTTCAGATTTTTTTTTTCTTATCATTGTAGTAATTCAAAAATCCTTCACATAAAAAATCATGAAATGTTTTGACTAATTGAAAATGAGATGATCTTACATAACTCCTTGAAGATTCAGTGTCATCATGTTTGAAAACCATTTCTTTCATTTTCATATAATTTATGTTATCAGGATCAAACTTGGAGTAAGACACAAGTATTAAATTTTTAATCAAAGAAAAAAAAATTACATAAATCATGTTTTGAAAGCATATATGAGGTGACTGAATAAGATGGTGGTTGAGCCCAACACACAACTTTTTAGTCCTTTATCTTGCCTCAGCCCCATATTTTATCTTCCAAATTTTGCCCCAGACATACTGTGCTGTGTGTTTTTTGTTTTAGTTTGAAATTTTGTGCCTCAACAAAACAGAGACAATGGCAGGCCCTCAGTGCTGCTCTAATCCACCAATTCTCAACCCAAGCTATGGAGTAGACTGTGCTGAAAAACTTGGAGGCCTTAACGTCTACGCCGCTGGCTCCCCTAACTTCAAGCTTGCCATTGTTCTTGTCTCTGATGTTTTTGGTACCTGCACCACTTCAAAGTTTCTCTTCTTTGTTATAAATTCTGATGTTATGCTCCTATTTTTCTTTTCACGTTGAAAGGAACTATTAGGAGGAAAGTGCGATGACTAGAAAGTTCTTTTAACTGAAAGTTCTTTTTAACTTGTTTAACAATGGAGACGAGAAGAACCGATAACATATAATCAACTTGGATTTGTCAACAATTCACTGAACTTACATATTCGATTTGTCCTGCAGGATATCGAGCTCCGAATTTGAGGTATGGCTAATTCTAAAATTACTTTCTATCATTGATCAATGGATTCTGATGTACTTTATGTGCATGAGTTAGAGATGAAAGGCAGTCCGTTGAGCTGTTTGTTTCAGAAAGAATTTTCCGTTCCAAATGTTTCATATGGAGTGCATCAGGAAGCTTGTCAAATCAGATTGTATTAATTATGTCTTAAATGTGTCCTGCTTCGAACTTCCTAGAATAGAGGTTGCAAAAATCAGTATTCATTACAGTATTTGATGTTCTCCTCCCCGTATAATCCTTATGGAATTTGCTATAAAACACGTCGAATCTCTTCGAGGCTAATGATGTTTTCTGCAACTTGCCCCGGAAAGTTTATGGTGGTAATTTGTTAACAAAATTACACAGCTCATAAAAACGATGATACAAAATCTAAAGATTTCAAATTTTTGCACCTCCTGGAGAAGGTGAATCAAGAAAAGAAGAGATTTTGGTGTAGAGGAAGTCCTTTTTCAAACTCAGAACATGGAATATTATAGAAATTATGATTCAGTGAATGCAATTTATGGCCAGCAGTTACCGTCTTTAGTGTCTGTGAGTGAAGCACAACTCCATGATTGTTGTTAATGGATGGTACCAATAGTCTGCAGTGTTGAATATAGTCATCTATTATAATGTGTGTATAATCCATTACACTTCCTGAAAGTCAATGTAATCTGCTTTCTTCTTTAAGGAAGCTTGCCGAAAAAGTGGCAGCTGCAGGATTCTTTGTGGTAGTTCCAAACTTCTTCTATGATGATCCGTTTGTATACGACAATAACAGACCTCTAGCATTCTGGTTAGAAGATCATGGAACGGTTCGCTCTCGCCTTTTCATAGATGCCTCGATTATAAGCTTAACTCATGATCGGTCAATTATACTCTTCGGGGCGCTATTCCAAATTTTAATCTTTGGCTGCATGAAATTAAGTGGATTCCACATAGTGCTGCATATTTTGATCGAGAGTCCTTAAAATTTTAGTGCCTGAAGCTTGCTAAGTGTTTTTACTAGGATAAAGGATTTGAAGATGCAAAATCAATAATTAATGCTCTTAAAGAGAAAGGTTATTCTGTAATTGGAGCTGCAGGATTCTGTTGGGGTGGTGAGTGGTTGCTCCTCCTGTCTGCTGTGTCTGATATTCTTTTCTTATAAACAACATTCTAATTTTGCTCTTTATTCTTTTGCTTATTTTTCATTTTTGCTTCATCATTTTCACAACTTCACAAATGGATATTCTTAGCCAGAACAATAAAAATAAAAAATAAAACTTGACAAAATTTTGCAGCTGACTAAGAAAGAAACTCAATGTTCTTCTCAGGCAAGGTCGTGACGGAGCTCGCGAAGTCTGATTTCATCCAAGCTGCTGTGCTACTACATCCTTCATTTGTTGCTTTGGATGATATTGAAGGTATGGACTCCAGTGCTTAAATGCTTTCTAAACTATACACTACTTGCATTATGCTATATCTGCAATACAGCCTAATCTAGGAATATAGACATGTCAGATAATGATATTTGGGAATTGTCTGATGTTATTCTTTTCCGTATGTGGAGGCAAATATATACAGTTATATTGGGTAGGCTACAAGAAAAGCTAATAATCTCATCATACTTAAATGCTCAATTAATACTTAAACCTATTGGCAGGGGTTAAAGTTCCCATGGCGGTTCTAGGAGCTGAGATTGATGAATATTCTCCACTGGAACTCTTGAAACAATTTGAGGAGATATTAGCTGCTAAATCTGAGGTGCTTTTTTTTTGTTCTTTTTTAAAATTCTCTCATTCTATAATGTTCATATTCTTGATTTACAGTCTAAAAACTAAACAAGCTTTGTTTCTTTCCTCATAGATTGATAGCTATGTGAAGATATTTCCAAAAGCTGAGCATAGTTGGACCGTGAGGTACAATGTCGAAGATGAAGAAGCTGTGAAGCGTGCAGAGGAGGCTCATAACAACATGATTGATTGGTTTTCTAAGCATGTTAAGTGATTACTTTCTGAGTTCCCATGTTAAATAGTTGAATAAAACCAAGAACTTCAATTCAACTTGATATTATTATTAGACACACGGCAATCAAACTGATTTAATAACAATAATATCTGCATAAATTGAAGTGACAGGAATATATGAACATACTGAGCCCTATGAGGGTGTTCATTCTCACCATCATCTTGCCCTAGCTAGTTATCTTATCTTAGTATTTTTCAGCCCTCTGTTTGCTCTTTCCTCTGTCTAATTATGCTAGCTAACCCTTTTGTTCTTGCTGGGAAATAAATTCCAAACCTGCAACAGAACTTCTACACAATATGTCTCTCATCTGTATGCTGGCCAAACTTGAGACCTACCTTTCTAAAGCTATTTCAGCCTCCGGCACTCTCCAATCTCCTGTACCAACTCTGGCGAATATTGTTACGATCTTGTTTTTAGGCTAACTTCTCTTCTCCACCTATCCCATTAGCATTTAATTATAGTGATCATCCAGTTTCTCTATCAAAGACTACTCCTTGCCTCCACCACGCTATTATGTTCACTCAAAACCTGCTCCAGTTGAGCATTATCCACATTCCATGGCAGGTTACCAACATGATTCTAGAAAGCAGGTTCAAACGAACGAGGTGGGAGTTTTTTGCATGTTCCTCTTGGAGCAGACCTATTGACAGTCAAGAGCCTTCCATTTGAATCTTATTCACAAAATAAAAACACAAAACCTAGAAGCAACACAATCCTTAAAACATGCTATCAAATGTTGTGCGGAAGCGTCAACCAATTTCGAGTGAAAAATTAACAACTGGCAGGAGATAAAATAATGAACACAAAACAACACCAACAAGAATACCAAGATTTATACTGGTTCGGCAATGCCTACATCCAGTTTGGAGACGACGGAGTATTCCACTATAATCAAATGAGAGAATACAATAGTGTTTAACACTTAGAAACCCAAGCCCCAAATATACCCAAGCTCACACACTCAAGAATATATAAGGAGAATACAAATTGAGAATAAATTTAGAGAAAAGAAAAACAACTCTTTATTTTTCTTTCTCTCTGCCGGCTACTCTCTCTGCAGCTCTTCTGCTCTCTCTGCTTCAGCTGCTGCATGCTTCTCATTTATAGCCAAGGAAGTTGGCTCTTCAAACAAACCAAAAGGCCAAAGGCCAACCAATCAAGTAAGGTAAGCCATCAATGCTATATATCATTATGTCTCCCATATGCTGCTGTCCCAGCACTTTGTTTGCCAATGCCAATACTATATTCTACTTTTGACCGAAAGCAACTTTGCTTTTGAGACAATAGTCAACAATCTCCACCTTGGCTCAAACTATCAAAGTAGAACTCCCAATTGTCGTCTCCGAATCCCCCACGGGGCAATCAACAAATTTTACAAATTCCAATCAAGTCTAAGCAATGCTTAAACTTGAGCAACGAAACTGGTTTCGTCAACATATCTGCAGGATTGTTGGTGGTTCCAATCTTCTCAAGAAGAATATCTCCCTCTTCAATAATCTTACGAACAAAATGGAACCTTACGTCAATGTGTTTCGTACGTGCATGATGAACTTGATTCTTTGCTAAATAAATAGCACTCTGACTGTCGCAATAAACATCCACATGGTCCTGTTGAACCCCTAAGTCATCAAGCAACCCTTGAAGCCAGATGGCTTCCTTTATAGCTTCTGTTACCGCCATGTATTCAGCCTCAGTAGTCGACAAAGCAACAGTAGATTGCAGAATCGACCTCCAACTCACTGGACCTCCAGCAATAGTGAATACAAAACCTGTAGTGGACCTACGCTTGTCCAAATCACCTGCATAATCAGAATCCACATATCCAACAACACATTGACCAGAAACTTTATCCTGCTGAAACAATAAACCAACATCTACAGTACCCAGAATATACCGTAGAATCCATTTCACAGCTTGCCAATGCCCTTTTCCTGGATTATGCATATATCTACTGACAATACTAACAGCTTGTGAAATATCAGGCCTAGTACACACCATAGCATACATCAAACTACCAACAGCACTTGCATATGGAATTTGAGCCATGTAATGACTCTCCTCATCAGTATTAGGAGACATAGAAGCACTAAGTTTGAAATGAGGGGCAAGAGGTGTACTAACCGGTTTTGAATTTTCATTCATCCCGAATCGCTGTAGTACCATCTTCAAATACTGCTTCTGACACAGACTAATCTTGCCCTTCGATCTATCTCTTTCAATTTCCATACCTAGTATCTTCCGAGCTTCTCCCAAGTCCTTCATCTCAAATTCATTACTCAGTTGAGTCTTCAACCTTTCAATCTCCACTTTGCTTTTACATGCTATCAACATATCATCAACATATAAAAGCAGATAAATGAAGG